CCTTCTCCAGGACCCCCTCCCAGGCCTCAGCAAGGCTTGGCATCCCCACGCCAGCCGCTCCTGGGAATCGCAGGCAAGTGAAAGGTGCCCGCCCACCCATGCCCAAGGATGCCACTTGGACTTGTCCACACCAGCCTTCTGCCTTGGCCATCCTCACAGGCTGTCCACCTGCACCATGTTCTGGGAACAGACGGGGCAGAGCGGGTGGCCGGGGCTCTCCTCCCTCCCTCTCTCCCTCACTCTCTCTCACCCTCCCTTTCGCCCTCCCTCTTTCGCCCTCCCTCCCTCTCTCTTTCCCTTTCTCTCTCCCTCTCTCCCTCTCTTTCTCTCTCCTTCGTTCCCTCTCACTCTCCCTCTTCTCTCTCCTTGTCTCCTCTCTCTCTCTCTTTCCTCTTCCTCCTGTGTTTCTCTCCTCTCTCTCACCTCTCTTTCTCTCTCTCCTCATTCTTTCTTGTCTCTCTCCCCTCTCTCTCCTCTCCCCCCCCCCCCACGGCATCTTTTCTACTTTTCAATCACGAGGGTGCATTTGAGAGCCTACGTTTCTCGTTGGACACTTGAAGTGACAGATGAGACAAAAGGCAAAACTCCAGGGTAAAATGACAGTATAGACACTCCTCAGATCCTATAATGAACCTCACAGGGCATCCAATTTCACTGTATTAGGATGTTTTTTCATAATGAGCGCATTGTTGGAAATCACATTTTCTGTCTGCGGGCGCTGGAGTCAGCCGCGCGGCCACTTCAGCTCGGTGGCTAATTAGCGAGAGGCGGGCACGCCATGAACAGACCTGGGCCGGGCAGCACCCGGCTGCCGCGCCCCGGTTTCCCGCCCAGCGCCTGTGGTTCCTGCTCGCTCTTTCATTTGGTTTATCCATTCACAGGGGTCGCATTGGCAGGGAGAGAGGAGGGGAGTCGGGGGGAGTGGGTTACAGTTAAAAGGGAGAAAGTGGAAAAATCAAACAACGTGGGGGCGGGGCGTTTTTCTTTGATCGCCTCACACAGGCGCTGCATCCCGTGGGCTCCAGGGGACGGCTGTGCCGCGTGGGGTTCACCTCATCCCCACAGACATCTGTCCCCATGCGTCCCCAGCACTGCAAGAGGATGCGGTGCTGAGTAAGTGGGGAGAAGGACAGTTCCAGAATGACCAGACCCAGCTAGGAAGCTTGCGGACACCAAGGGCTGCAGAATGGGTCTACGCAGCCGAGTTTGCCTGGAATGGGGAGAGGGAGGGTAGAAGGGGCCTTTGGGACATTGGCGGAGGGACCCGTATGCTCTGGTGGCATGTGAAGTGTTGAAAGGATCATGGAATTACCATGAACAGCATTATCAGTCACAGTGCCTCGAGAAAAGAAAAAAAATATATGGTACCTCCATGAAAAAAAAGGGGTAAAAAATATACAATATAAAACTAAAGATAATGATAAAAGGAAAAAGCACCCAATTCTATGGACTTCCAGAAAATTCTAGATGAACTAGAATGCCGGACTACTCTGCCTCCAGGTCTGCCTCCCCCTCTGGCCACGTCTTGTGTCTGGTCTGTTAGGACAGGCGCTCACAGCTTCCCTGAGTCTGCTGGCCTCCAGGCCTGGACAGCAGAGCCCAGGTGAGGCCCAGCCACGGGCACAGAGAGAACCTTTTCTTTTCCTTCTTTCCCCGTTTCCTTTTGGGGTATTTTCGAACAGTATTCGAGGCCCCACACACCCCAGGTGTGGTTACGAGCAGCCAGACGTGCTGTTTGCACGGTGTCGTGTGAAGAGCTGCCTGCTGGACCAAGGCTGCATGCCGCCTCTTACTCTGGGAGCACGGCGAATCCGAGCCCCCATCTGCCGGCGCCTGGGTGAGTGCGGCCGGGAGTTCCTGCCGACGCCGAGCCCCTAATCCTTTTGATCATTTGCACTGTGCATTTTTACACAGTCTCTTGTGCTTCAGAGACACAAACTAAAGAAGCTTAAAGGTGAGTCCGATGGGGGTGTCTCTGCACTGTTTGTCATTGCAGATGGAGCTTGAATTTGAATGGCAGGCATTTCTCGGCACCAGCTGAGCTTCCCTAAGCCCTCCACAAAAAACAGTGTCCAGGGGGTGGGGTCACTCCTGACCCCACATTTCCTTCACAAGAGAGGACACCATTTGTGGGAGCTCTGAGCAGAGGCTTCTCCGTGGCACTGCCCATCCCATTGTCTCTCCTCCCCTTCCCTCCCCCCCTGGCCAAGGTGGGGATGAGCCCATCCGCTCTTCCCTGGGTCTGGGGGCTTCTTCCTTTGGGGGGACTAGTTTTCCCCAATCCATGAAAGAGGGCATCTCTCCCGTAAGACTGTAGGCTGTGACTCTGACCCCCCCCACGTCAATAGCAGCCTACCCCCCTCCCCACCCCACAAGAGCCGGAAGGCCAAAGCGGCCCCAGTGTGGCTCTGGGTCTGAGTGTGAGTTCAAATGTGGGAGACGCATTCGGTGACCGAGAGCCGTTGCCCCAGGAGAGGAACAAAGGAAAGGGAACTCGTGGATACATGGTACAAGCAACCGTTTAGTTGGCATGTCCATAGAACATCTGAGGGGGGCGAGGAACAGGACTGCACTAGGGGTGATTGATCATTTACAAAGGAAAAGTGTTTCAGCAGAGGCAGTTCTCTTGGGGGACTAACTCAGAGAGACACTCTATCTCCCAGGGACATCTGTATTGCTGTTCTCTTTCCCTTTCATTGTACATATTAAACAATTGACTGTCACTGTCACTGTCCTCCCATTGTTCATCGATTTGCTCAAGCGGACCCAGTAACATCTCCATTTTGAGACTTGTTATTACTGTGTTTGGCATATTGAATTAATCGCAGGGAGCTTGCCAAGCTTTGCCGTGCCGGGTGGGATACTCTTGGTAGCTTGCCGGGGTCTCCGAGAGGGGCGGAGGAATCGAACTCAGGTCGGCCATGTTGGCTGCATGCAAGGCAAATGCCCTACCCGCTGTGCTATTGCTCCAGCCCATTAAACAATTAAGCTTACTTTTTTTATTACTATTTGCAGTTATTTGGATAAACACAGTAAGAGATATAGATTCCCAAACTTAGTTCTCTGAGAATATTCACAGGGGTGGTTTTTGTGCTTGGTGCCTCTTTTCCGTGAATTGATGATGGGATCTTTGAGATGCGTTTGCTGGATCACTTAATCGAGGTGAATGACTCTTGGTCTTCATCTCTGCAACATGCCAGTGGGGCCTCAAGGGGATCTGGACCGAGACTGTCCTCTGCCCGGTGGAGGTGCTGCTTCCTGTGCCCCCCACAAGGCGGAGTGTGACATGGTCCCAGTATTCTTTACTGGGCCTCCCCTGCGGTGCTCAGGGAGCCTGCGGGCCATTCCCGAGACTGGACAGTCCAGTGCTGCTGCATCCTGAGGTGACGTGCAGGGCACAGCTCTCAAATCTAAATGACAGCAAACTGCTAATGAAAAGTTCCTAACTGTCTCAGACAGACCCCCAAATTAGAGCAAAGAAGAAATGGAAATCACTGTGAACATAATTTTTTTCCCCTAACCTCACTAGTAAATCCCTTGAAAAGCAAGAAGGGGGCTATCTTCAGCCCCAAGTTTGTAAGAATGTAAAACAACATGACCTCGACTGAGATTGACCTCCTAAGTATGCCGCCCCCCCCACGACGATGGGGTGTGCAGTTCACAAAATGTTTGCATGAGGCATCAAGAAACTTAAGAATATGCCTAAGAATATTTTTAGTATTTCTAAGAATGTTCGTTAGAAATTCTGCTTGAAAAGCTATGGCCAGCAACAGCCTGAGAAAAATGGACAATATTTTCTTTCCTAGATAAGAACAGGAGACAGTCTAAATGCTTGATGGCAGGGATGGTGGGGTGTATGTGGGTCACTGTAGGACAGTGGGGGCGGGGAGTGGCCTGTAGGGTCACTGCAGGACAGTCAGAGGCGTATGGTACGTGGCATAACCGTTGAACGTTTTGTGGTGTGGGTGTAGCTGCCACATTTATAACACGGGTAATACTTCCGGGAATCGAGGTGATCTTTCTTTTTCATATTCCACACATTTTCTAAATGTCATGTGGTTTGCAAATATTGTTTCTGTGATCACTAAGTAATTTAAATATTAGAAGGGATGAGGGGGATGAGGCTCTTTCCTCCCTTTTCTGGGTTCAAGTGCCAGGTGCTCCGTTAAGGCCCGGATGCTGGCTTAGAGGCCGGGGTTGAGGCTGCGTGCTGGTGCGGCAGCTAGGGGGTCTCCTGCAAAACTGTGGTCACCTGGCTCTCACCATGACCCTGCACTGGCCTCTGCCCACTGATCACTTGCCTAGAGCCCGGTGAGGCACCCCTGTGGGGACAGGCCTTTGGGTTGATGGGTCGAGGGATCAAGCTAACCGCCCCCCCCGTCCCCCGTGTGACCCAGAGCCCCTCATCCCTGTCAAGACTCGGTGTGACTCGCCCAGCCCCCCAGGTCTGGTGAGGATGCTCTGGGGAGCTAGGAGTGGGGAGACGCCCAGAGGCCAAAGCCAGCCTCTTGACTGTGCATGAGGTCAGTCAATCCGGGTTCACTCTCCTGAGACCAGGACAGGTAGGTGCCCTGTGCCCTCCCTGCGTCCCCCAAGAGCTGGGCAGCAGCCAAGGCCTCTGTCATCCTTTTACTGCAGACAATTGGGCTGAGCAAACACATCCCGCCCCACAGGGGTCTGAACCCCACCTTGCCTTCATGTTACCAGCGCAGAAACTTGAGTTTCTCCCTATTGGCCACCTCCGGCCTTACACCGTTTTCTCTGCCTGCACGAGGGGACCCTAGGAAACGGGCTCTGTCAGAGGACACGGTGGGGTGGGGGGCAGCTGCAGCTGGCTTTCTCCAGAGCATCCCAACCCCAGTGGAACCCTGGAACAAATCTCCCCTGTGGGGAGTGGCTGGGTTTACCCTGGGCTGCTTCCTGTGGGCATGGGGGATGCCCTGGCTGGTTTGAGTTGGTGCTGTCAGTAAACCATGGCCCTCTGCTTTGTCCCCTCGCAGGGAAGACCGGTCACGCCGAGGTGGTCCGCGTGGTGTTCCAGCCCGAGCGCATAAGCTTTGACGAGCTGCTCAAGGTCTTCTGGGAGAACCACGACCCGACCCAAGGTAGAGGCGCTGCTCGGCCCGTTGATGGGGAGGAGGGGCGGGGGCGAGGGCTGGGGGACAAAGGGCCAGCTGCTCCCCAGCTAGCAGGACGCGGACAATGCCGCGCTCAGCTCTGAGGGCCGCCGCTCCCCCTCGCATGTGGGCTCTATCTGCACAATGGAAGCATCTTTCCCGCAGCGCCAGTATCCCTGACTTACTCTCCCTTTATTTCCCTGAATTTAGCTGCTCTCGTTTCCTGTCATTATCAGGTTGTTAGTTTTATTCAGATGTCTGTGGGAGATATTTTTTTATTATTGTTATTACTGTTATTTTAAAGCAAGAGCATAAAGGTAAAATACAGCTTTGGTGGCTGGACCCCATCAGTTCTCTTCTTTGGAGGACCAAGACACCTGTGGGCTCACAGGGTGGCCGGAAATCTCTCTGCAAGCACATGACCAGCAAAAGCTGCACGCCGTGGAATGTCGCCATGAGGGCCAGGGAAGGTGCCAAGGTACACTGCTGCCTGATGCTGCGGCCTTGTGGGCCCCGGAGCCCAGCACAAAGGCGGGACCCTCACAGATCCAGCTCGAACTCCTCCATTATTCCACAGAAACAGTTTGCTCCTGGGGTGGTATCTGTGAGTGCAGTCTGTAGGAATGCTTCTTCGGGTGTGGCCATGCCAAGGAGCACCCAGAGGGCAGAGCCACAGCCGAAGGGCCGACTCGGCCAACTGCGGGCAGGGCTGGCATCCTGGCAGAGCCACCAGCCAGGCTGGAGCCCGCCACAGAGGCGAGGAATGAGTTTCCGTGGAGTGGGATGGTTGTTTCCAGGAGGTGATGGAGAAGCAGGAGGTATGGGGAAAGCCTGAGCCGGAGGGAAGACGGAACCCCAGGAAATGAGAAGGTTCAGGGGTCAGCCCAGTGCAGACTTCACAGGCCGGCGGCTGGACATGGCCTCAGCCTGAGAGAATCCCCTCCTGGCACCCCAGCGAAGTTGGCTGAGGGTGAAGCCACCTCTCTCCCTCCTCGTCTGTCAGTGAGCTTATCTCCGACTTTCCTCAGCTGCGTAGTTTCAAGGTTGGCCTCTGAGTCTCCAGTAATTTTCTCCTTAATACAAATTTCAAAGAGCCTCCTCTTCCTCTCCCCCTTCTCTCTCCCTTGCTCCCTCACACCCTTCTCCCTCCCTCTCTCTTTCTCCCTCCCCTCTCTCTCACTCCCTCTTTCTCCCTCTCACTTGCTCCCTCTCCCTCTTTTTCTCTTCTCTCTCTCCCTCTCTTTCCCTCTCTCTGTCTCTTTCTCTCTCTCATGTCTTGTCATCCTTGAAAGTCTTGGTTTACTGTGCCGTTCCCTCGGGCTGCCTGGCCAGTGCCCATTGGTGGGCTCTGGCTACAGTAATGGATATTCTCGGGGCTCTGGAAGCTGCGGCCATGAGGGAAGGTGCCTTCTGAGGACTCTGATTGGCATATGGGTGGCCCCCGTCTTCCTTGTGCAGCCTTCCTACAGACACTGGCCGTTGGCTTCAGCCCCACCCCACCCTTAGTTGTTAAAGACTGTCCCCAACGAGGCTTCTTCCAAGGAGCTGGAGGTGAGGGGTGGGGGCACAGTGCTGTCCTGTAAGCGGTTCCTTCGGGTGGAGTTTATTCCCAGGACCAGGGAGCCTAGGCAGAGACTGCAGAGAGCTAGAGGGCTCCAGACTCCGTTTCCTCCTCAGCTCCATAACCCAGAATCAGAAATGATAGGTAACGGGGTTCACAGACGACAGGGCTTGACTCTTAATGACATCACTGACTCTGAACAAGTTTTAGAGTGAGGAGAGAGTCTGTCTTGACAGTATGTTGTTCCTGCTTAGAATTGTGGCAGTGGACAAAGGCATGGCCTCAGGGCCCAGGCCTGGCCAATCACAGCATCTTCCCCTGGTGTGACCTGTGTGTGACCCAGAGACCAGGCATGTGACCCCAGCAGACTGTCCAGCCCCAGGGACAGATCCGAGCCCCCCACCCCCACTGGTCCTGTTGTGTGAGTCCGTCGCTTGGCTAGGGACAGCACAATGGGGTGCGCTCTGGTGGAAGGTGCCTGCCTGCAGGAGAAGCAAGCGAGGAGGAAGCAGCCAAGACGGGAAGGGGGCAGTGTCCTCTCAGCTCTGGACATGGCCACTCAGCTCCACCCCTTGGGTTTCCTCGCAGTTCGTTGCCTGGGCTTCCATTGTTCTGGTGATAACTTCAACATCCTAATGAATCCACTGAAATGATCGCTCTGTTCCTTCCGTTGATTAAATACTGGTTTGCTCGGTTCACTTGGCTCCTGACTTGGAGACTGCCCCCAGGTCCGAGGGTATCACCTTTGACTCAGGAGCCAAAGGACCCCGGTCTTTTTTCTTCAGCATCTTCTGGTGGATCAATGAGCGTGAATCCTGGGTGATTTAGATTCAGGGTTTACAGTTTGGGATACATCTGAGAACGGAGCCTCCCCATGTCCCTGCTGCCCGTGCAGGACAGTCATCCATCAATGATGTCCATCGTGAGTTTCCTCCACGCTGGGAATTCTGGTGACTAGCTGGCACCATCCACCAGGTAGGCGGAGTGAGGAGCCATATGCGTCCTCTCAATCACTGCCCAGGCAGAGATATTCCTCAGGAAGGAAATGGCTGAATCCCACTATACTGATGCACACGACCGCATAGATCAATGGGTACCAGGCTGCAGACCCAGAAAACCACCAGAGATGGTTGATTCTAGAACATCCAAAGCAGGAACCATGAGTTCGGAACATGCCACATTCCCGGGAGCCCTGAAGACCCCAGGCCCGAAGTTCCACTTGATTTTCCCAAGAATGTGAGGCCAGGGAGTGGGCCCATCCCCCACCATGTTACCCGTGTGTGCGGTGGCAGTTGATTTGAGACCCACATGCCTTTTGTTGTCGCCAACTCCTGTGTGACATCCGTGCCCCCAGCTCCTGTTGCAGCCCAGCGTGTCCACTCACTGTCTCCTACCTCCCTTGGCCTTACTCTCGGGAGACTTCCGGGGCCCCTGAGCCCGGGGTGGGGCTGGTCCCTCAGCACAGCAGCCTCCCAGCCTCGAGCCAGGCGCGCCCAACCCAGGTCACTGCAGAGAGGAAGATACCGTTTTCCCTCTGCGTCTCATCAAGTTGGCAGTTAAGCGCTGGGGCTCATATTCTTGAACTTGCCAGATTCATATCTCAACTGCGTTGTGCTGACCCTTTTAAGTTGTGGGTTTTTTTTAAAAAAAGGAAAGAAGAAGAAGATGCAGAAGAAGCCACCAGTTTGGGAGGCCTCTCCTTTTTTTAGCCCGTGTACAAGGACTCTGTCATCTGCAGATAATTAGACAGTGGGAGCCGCATTGTATTGCTAATGAGCAGATGTGCAGGCTCCGCGTGGGGAACAGCTGCACCCATAGGAGACGCAGGGGAGAAGCCCCCACGCCGGCATTATGCATTCTGAAAGGGGCCCCGTCCCTCAAGAATTTCAGTCACAGGGAAGAAATGGAACAAAGAATGTAACTGATGTTTGTCTTTATTAATTGCTCTTTCAGCCACAGCGGTCACATGCACGCGTGTCTGTGCTCATATGCACGCGTGTTTGTGCTCTGCATGCTGAACCCGTGTCTGGGCCTCCCGCCCCCAGATTTCCAGTGCTGTGGGATTGGGTGCCCCTGGGCAGACGATGGCACCTTCTGGCTGGGTCTCCAGGCTCCCTGCTCAGTGCTCCCTGCATGTGACCCTGTTTCCTCCTTAGAGTAACTAACCCAGGTGACCTGAGACCCTTTTGCCAATGAGCACAGAGGCCCAGATTGGGCTCAGGACCAACTGCTGGTCAGTAACTGTGGACCAGGGCCAGAATCAAACTCCAGGGCTCATGGCCCCGCCAAGTGGAGTTTCCCTCCGTTGCCTTTAGTCCCCCTTGAGCCCTGTGACGCCCACAGAGAGGACACGGGCACCCTGGATGGGCACAATCCCACCCTGTTCCTGACCCTCCAGGGGTGGGGGCAGCCGCGCCCTGTCCCTGACCCACCTGCATGGTCATGGCATCAGGGCTTGCAAGAGGAAGAAGTTGCCGGGAGCTTCTGGAAACTGGGGGCCTGGGAGAGATCTTGCCTTTGACTCATTGGCTAATGTGGTACAAAGTCAATACAGAAGAACAAAGTCAGATACATACCATGACTCCATGTGACTGGAGTGCTCAGTGAGGAGAGAGAGTGATGCAAGCTGGTCACTGGGAAGGAAGTAGGACATCTGGGCGTCGGCCCAGGGTCCAGGTCAGCTGTCTCACGGGAAATAGCTCCACATGTTGGATAAGGGTTCGAGGCATATTCAGAGCAGGACTTCAGAGAGCCGAGCCGTTCTTTGTGCCAAGGCCGGGGCCTGAGCGCAAGCACCAGACAGGTAGGAAGACCGAGCTTAGAACGTAGAGATTTAGCCACAGAATAAACCGAGCAGGGAAATGGGTGAGACCGTGAGGAGCAAAACTCAATGAAATGAAAAGTAAACAAGCAATGGAGAAAATCTGTGGAGTCAAGTGTCAGCGTTTGAAAACAATAACATTCACGGAACTTTATTTGGCTGGGGCCAGAGAGACAGGACACGGGTCCGGCGCTTCCCTCCTACAGCCAGCCCGGGTCACCCCCAGCACCCCAACATTACAGAGCCTCTCAGCCCTCAAGGACAGAGCACAGAGCCTCAGCACAGAGCCAGGAGTAAGAATATGGAACTTGAAATGCTAAGTAAAGCCAACTTCCTGAGAATATAAAAAAAGGAATAAATCCATAATCACTTTATAAATGAATAAAACACTGTCTGTCCTCCCATTGTTCATCGATTTGCTCAAGCGGGCTCAGTAATGTCTCCATTTTGAGACTTGTTGTTACTGTGTTTGGCATATTCAATATATGCGGGCAGAATACTCTCGATAGCTTGCCGGGCTCTCTGAGAGGGGCGGAGGAATCGAACCCGGCTCAGCCAGGCCGGCTGCATGCAAGGCAAACATCCTACCGCTGTGCTATCACTCCAGCCATAAATGAATAAATATAAGAATATTTTCTAAATTTTCTGATATTTGCAAATATCAGAAAATCAATATTTATAAAAGCCCCCATGAAGAAACCAGTAAGTTTCGATGGCTTCTCAGTGAGTTCTGCCAACATTTAAGGAAGAGATCATTTCAGAATTTTCCAGGGACTAAAGAGAATGTGATTCATAATCCAACCCTTAAGCCATCTTGATACTAAAACCTAGTGGGAAAAAAATTATGGTTCAGCCTTACTCAAGAAATATATGAAAAAATTTAAACAAAAGATAGTCAACTGAATTTAGAGACGTCAAAGAAGCAGAATGCGTTGTGGCCGCTTCAGTCTTCCCCAGGAGTGCATGCTTGCATTGGCACTTTAATACAGTGGGTGCAGCTCGTCAGAGTGGCCGAAAGGAAAAAAAAATCACATGACTACCAGAATACATGCACAAATAGGTGTTTAATATAATTCAGTACTTGCGAATGATTAGAAAAACACATAAACAAAGCTGACAAACAGGTGTTAGACTCCTGCAGAAATCGCATTTTGGAGGTGACTCTCAGTTGCCCAAAGTCACCTTTGAAGCTCTCCCAGGTCTCTCTGGGCTCAGGCTGGTCCCGTGGGTCAAGGAGGGGAGCGCCCCAAGGGCTGAGCCTGCAGCCCATCTGCCTTTCCTCCCTGGGCAGCGCTGTCCACCCACGTGTCTGACTTCTGGCGGGTAGATTGTGGACAGAGGTGGCCACACCTTGCAGGTCTGGCCATGAGAATCTTTTCTTTCAGCAAATGCTGAGGGCGCCCCTGGCAGAGGCTTATTGAAGGCAGCCGGGCATCTCAGCTGCAAGCTCAGAAGAGCTCATGACTCAGGACTTTCACCACTGTCCCTCACCCACCTGCCTTCACGTGAGCAGGAAGTAAACATCTAGTATGTTAAGCCGGGAGCTAATGTCAGTGTTTACATATTTACCAGAGATTGGTATTTTGTTTGGTTTTTCTTGGGTGTGAGATGGGGTGGGGGCATACCTGATGGTGCTCAGGGCTTGCTCCGCACTCAGAGGTGATTCTTGGTGTGGTCCAAGGACCACCTGGGGTGCCGAGGACAAAACCTAGGTCAGCAGCGTGCAAGGCAAGTGCCTTACCCTCTGTACTATCTCCAGCGCCCGGAAGTTGGTGCTTTGAGGAAGAGTTCTACCAAAACCCTTAACTACAACAACAAAACTGGTGGCATTGACTTCGTGGCCAGGCATCTGGGACCCCCAATACGGTTTGCCTAGTGCTCTGCCACACCTCAGAGACCCAATACAGACCTGGGTCTGATCCCCCCACACCTGGGTGGGTTGTGGGGGAGAGGATTTCCAGTGTTCAGGAAAATAGAATCATGAAAATTTTTCCACTGGCCATCTTCATCTCCCATCTGTCCTCACCGGGGCCCCTTGGAGGGGAGCGGGTTGTTTTCCTCCCCGCCCCGACCAGGGCTCCAGCAGCCGAAGACCTCCAGAACCAGCCACCACTATGCTGAGACCACTCTCCGCACACATGAAGGTACCGGCAGAGGAACAAAGACACACGGGTCCTGGGGCTGAGATCTCCAAGCCTACTCGGATCGGGGCTGAGCATCCTCCACCCAGATCCTCCAAATTCCAGTAGGCGGGGTCACACCCACCAACTGGCCCCCTGGCGCCGTGTAATCCCATCAACGGCCAAGACTCAGAGATTATAAAACCCAGCTCCCGGAAGCGCGCGGCCACATTTGCGGTTGCGCGACATCTTATCATCTCATTCCTACTTTGGACAAACTGGCAGGCTACCAAATGTAACCTGCCCACACGGCAGAGTCTGGCAAACTCCCCTTGGCGTACCCAATATGCCAAATACCAGTAACAATGAAGGGTTTCATTCTCCTAACTCTGAAAGAGCCTTGAATATGGCACTTTTTAAAAAAAATCTCAGGGCTAGGACGAAATAGACGTTACTGGGGCCTGCTCGAGGCACTCCATGAATAACAGGATGTTTGTGATTGATTGTGATCTTCAAATAGAATTTCCTCCCTTTTGTAGGAACAAAACTAACCTCCCTCCCTCCCTTCCCCTTCCCCTCTCCCCCACAAGAGTTGCCCATCCATTCATTCAGTATTTTACATTTAAAATGCAACATCAGTTGAAACCAAGTATTTGTTTTCAGTCAAGTGGATTTTTTTTGCTATATGTTTCTATAGTTATTACTTGTTGTCAAAACTGCAGCTAGGCGCTATTTAGAACAATTATCCCAAAGACGTCTACTTATATCCAGGAATAGGAGGAACCAGCCTTACTTTTCACTTGGAACAACAAAAAGATATGTGTGTATAAAACAACCAAAAGATTAAGCAGATACAAATGATAATTTGTGGCCTGTGAACCTGCAGCCGCCCCCTCAGGCTCCCCGAGGTTAAGTTTCTGGGCAGTGGAGCAGGGAGAGAAGCCGGGTGAGTCCGCAGTTTCCTTAGGCAGAGGAGCTGGAGTTGGAAGTCAGGGATGCTGAGAAAAGTAGGACTCGCACAAGTAGGACTCGCACACAGCCACCGTGGAGGCGAATGACCTGGGAGAGGCCTCTGGGCGCGGCGGCTTCTCTGATTCTGGGGGTGCAGAGTGTGTGAGCAGATGAAGACGGGAAAAGGGCTCGAGAGAGCGGTTTGCCCACACAGGCCTGGCCAGAGGGAGCTCGAGTCCTCCAGAGGGAGTCCCTCATCTCAGGCATGAACCTTGCTGACCGCTTGCCCACATCAGAGCAGCGGCAAGAACTGAAGGCTCCGAGGCTTTACTGGGGGCTCAGCCTCCCCCTGAGTCAAGAGTGGAGCGTGTGTGAGAATACCAAAGCGTCCACACCCAGCTGAGGTGCGCACGCCCAGTGCCCAATGAGCCACGGGGACAGGACTGCTCTCTGCCCGGAAACTGAGCCATCAAAAAAGGCTCCCCCTTGACGGAGATACCGGAAGTGCCTGGACGGACTCTTAGGGGACGGAAGCAGGCTACTGTCTTCCGTGTCTGTCGGAGAAAAGAACGGACAGGTCAGAGGGTGGGAATGCCGCCAAACCGAGTCCAGCTCAGAAAGGAGAACGCCCAGGTGTGAGGAGGAAAACGTGTCCAACTCCAGATCTGACCTGACTGAAAACCACCCAGGCCGAAGCTGAAGCTGTTTGCCCGAGCATCCACCCAGCCTCAGTCTGTGCAGGGGGACCTGTCTTGCGTGGCACACGAGGCAGTCCGGGGCGAGGCTGAGCCGCAGAGGGGCTCGCGAGCAGAGGGCTGCCCCGAGGGCTTCTCCGGGTGCTCCACAGAGAAAAGCAGATTTTAATCCACAGAATCTGGTATTGCCACGCAATAGCACTGCCTGCATATCTGGTTGGCGATGGTTCCAGGCCCTGTCATCAGACCATGGGGCACATGACCCCCCGACATGCACACGCACACATACACACACACAAGTGCACACGCATACATACATGCACACATGTGGATCTGTGTGTGTGTGTTGTGTGTTGTTTCAGATGCCCTGGCTCCTCCTCAGGTGCTCTTTGACAGGGCAGCAGGAGGGTCAAAGGAGCAGGAGGGGACAGCGCCTGCCCATAGCCCCACATCAGTGGACCCTGAAGGCTGGACTTTGGTCCTCGTCTCCCACACCCTGACCCCCACGCTCCTGGAGGGCAAGTTCAGCCAGGGGGATGAGGAGTGAGTGTGTGTGACCCCCACGTGGCCCAAGGAGGGCGGGGGCCCCGGGTCTGAGCTGCACCTCAGACCCCTCGGTCTGCCCGAGAGTGGCTCCCCGCCCTGCCCTGGGCCCTTCCCTGTGCCGGCCCCCCATCCCCTCCTGTGCCCTCTCTCTGTGCCTGCCCCCCGGTCGTGAAGTCCCAGCCGATGCTATTAGCCAGACAGAAACTGACCGCGTGTGTGGCCAGCCACCTCCCCGTCGTGCCAGTGCACTGGGCGAACCTGTCAGATCCTGGTCCCAGCCCCTGATGCGGTGGCGGGCCCCAGCCACGTTCTCCATCAGGGCCTCATGCGCCATCTCCGTCTCTCACACGGAGCCACAGCTGCGGCCACCCCAGGATCTCCTCAGAGCAGCACGTGGTGAGAGGAGCCCATCATGCTGCCCGAGTCTGCATGGGGAATTGCACATTCAGACACCGAAGTGAGCCGGGCCCTGGCACTGGCTGAAGCCCCCGAGTATCTTGTCAGGCAGATGGAGGCCAGAGCGGGCCTAGTTCACACTGAGGCTCCGGCGGCGGGAAGGCAGGCCCCAAGCAGCACAGGGTGCCCCCCAACCCCCGCCACCCGGTGACCCTCATCCTCTCCCCAGGCATGCGCCAAGGCAACGACCGTGGCACCCAGTACCGCTCAGCCATCTACCCGACGTGCGCCCAGCAGGAGGAAGCTGCCCTGCGGACCAAGGAGGCCTACCAGAAGGTAGGGGGCACGGGGGGCTGTCTGCTGGGCACCAGGGCAGGGGACCATGGGCAGACTGGATATGTGCTGGCCTGGCTCTGGAGGCCCCAAGTCCTTGCTGGGGGCAGAAGGTCTATGCTGGGGTGGAAAATCCCTGCTGGGGGGGGGGGGGGACAGGAAGTCCTTGCTGGGGGGTGGGAAGTCCGTGCTGTGGCGGAAAAGCAGGGTTGGGACGGGAAGGCAGGGCTGGGTGGTGCCAAGGTTGGCAGGGCTGTCCTTTCTAAGACTGAGGGGGGCTGTTTGGTGGACATCTGCTTCGTCTCCCCCCACCATGGGGTCTATCAGAGTCTCCCTCACGGGGAAATCAGGCAGAGGCATTGCACACCTCCCCTCGGCCCTGCAGTCAGGGCATTACTCATCTCCAAGTAGGCACTGGGGGTCTCTGTGGGGAGGGGCCAATGGTGCCACTGAAAGATTTTCTTTTGCTTACCCTGTCATGAGGACACGTGAGCCCTAGTGGGTCTCTTCCCTCCCAGAACCCGGATGCAGAGTTCTGGCATCCCGGCGAACTGCCGGCCTCACTATGCACTGCCCCAGAGTCCAGACAGAGAGACCGCCTCCCCCCGCCCCCCCCCAACTACAGCAGCCCAGGGCTTTGGGCCCCGTCATGCGTCCAGCACATTCCTGCTCAGCATCGAAAGCAGGACATCCCCGGCCTCTTGTTCCCCCTTCAGAGTTGGCGTCTTGGGCCACAATGCCTGAGCCGAGCCCTGCTGAGCCCCGGCCCTGACTCCGTCGTCTTTCCTTGTCTGCTCCGTCACCGGCTGCTTCAGCAGCTTTTCTGCATGGAGCTCAGAGTGGCAGCGGTGCTCACCACAGAGCAGCCTCTGAATGTGAAATTAACTGATTTCCTCACCGGGCCCAGGGGCTGAGCTAATTATGTGGTGCCACCCGTGAGCCAGAAACCCAGAGTGAGTTTCCTCAGAATTGGGCTTTTCTGCAAAGTCGGTCGGGCCATGCATTGCCAACTCGCAGATGTCAGAGGGACGTAGAGCTGGAGAGTTTGCCGAGTTCACCTGCCCCGGTGAAAGGAGCTGGGGTGTCTCAGACGATCCGGGGGAACGTCAGACGTCGCAGCGGGCACTTGGAGCCTGAGGTGCTGGATTCTGTCTGTGGACTCCCCAGCGGCCTCTTGCCTTTGCTCCGCTGTTTCCTCCATTTCCCCCAAACGTCACGTGGTGAGATGATTTCCTTTGGTCACGAATTGCAGCACGTCACCAACATATCAGTGGTAATTTCAGGTGGACGGTCCCTCTCAAGTCTGCTGTCAAGGCAGATATTCTCTATTATTCTCAGCTGCTCGTGGCCTCTGGCACGGGTGAGGAGTTTTCGCTTACATCCCCCAAATTTGCCTCATTCAGAAATGCTGTCTTCTTTCCTGATACCTGGTAGACGGTTAAATCTAAAGAGCCTTCTCTGTGTGTCACAACCCGCTTCCCGTCAGTTCCTCTAGAAGCTTCCAGGGCGTCAGAAGCACAAACTCTTCCGATGGATAACCCATTTGGGCAAACCTACATTAACCACTGTGCCTCTGATGTGAAGGAGTGTTTTGAAAATCTTTTCTTAGCAGTCTCTGGCTCTGTTTGCCCCCTGTCTCCCAGCCTGCCACCCATCCATCCCTCCCTCCCCCCACCCAGCCCTCCTCCCACCCGCCTATCCCCCTCCCACCCTCCCGCACACCCGTCATCCTACCCACCACCCTGCCCTTCCGTTCATCCATCCAGTCATACCCATCTATTCATCTCTATCTTCAGTATAGCCCTAAAAGCTAAATATTTACCACCCTTTATCTTAAACTCAATTATCTAGCAATCTGTCACTTGTCATCCAGGCTCCATGGTGCCCTTTAAGGAATGTACCTGAGGTGGGGAGAGAGAGGGAAAGAGAGAGAGAGAGAGAGAGATGTGTGTGATAGTGTGTAGTATATGGTGTGTTTGTGTGTGGTAGTGTGGTGTGTGTGTCATTTTTTTGTTTGGGGGGCTGCTCGGGGCTCTGTGCTCGGGAGTTACTCCCGTAGTGCCAGGGAGGACCCGTGTGCTCGGCGGGGGCATCTCTCAGCCTGGCCATCTGGCCACGGGCCTGTGTGGACGGTGTCGTGCGCTTGGGTCTCTTGTAAGAGTTGGGTGAGATTGTCTGAAATCGCCTGGTTCTGGGCTGCGTGTTCAGACCAAAGCCAGCAGGAGCTGGCGCTGCAGTGTGTGCAGTGAAGCGGTGCCCCCTGGTTTCCTGTCCAGAAGGTAGTTTTCCTCAGTGGCGAGAAATCACACTCGAACCGAGTGGCAGGATGTGCAAGGGCCTCCCCAGAGCCTCCACCTGTGCTGGACAAAATGTGACCGCCATATCCCCTGGGCTGGAATTGTGGCGGTGGCACCACCCAGCACCATCAGAGGAACTGTGTGTCCATGACCCTGGTCATGATGCCTTCCCGTGATCCTTTCCCATGACCCCTTCCCATGATTCCTTCCCGTGATTCCTTCCTGTGATCCCTTCCCTTGATCCCTCCCATGATCCTTTCCCATGATCTCTTCCCATCACCCCCTTCCCGTGATCCCTTCCCATGATCCCTTCACATGATCTTTTCCCATCACCCCCTTCCTGTGATTCCTTCCATGATCCCTTCTCGTGATCTCCTTCCCATGATCCCTCTCACGATCCCCTTCCCATGACTCGCAGGCCAGGTGACCATGTCCCAGAAACCGTGGGACATTGGCAGCAAGTGGGACCTTTGAGCCTGCCTGTCCCCCTAAGACCTGCCCACTGCCGTCCCCACACAGACTGTTGGAAAATCTTTATGACCAGAACCTAAAAATGTGGCAGGAGAGCAAAACCCATGGGCCATCCTCTCACAAGGACTAAAGATTTGTGTCCCCCACCCGCAGTCACATGGTGAAACTCTTGGGAGGGGACATTGGGAGGTGACATTGGGGTCAGGTGAGGGCACAGGCAAGACCCCCAGAATGGTGCGGGCATGGGAGCTGGAATCTCTGGGTTCCTTCATGCGGAGTCCGAGGCCTGGAGCATGATGGCATGGGGGGTCCTTCCAGCCCCCATCTGGGCTGCTCGGCATGGCGACGGGCCTGAGTCTACCTCTCACTGGCCGCGGGAAGCTGTGACACGGGCCTTTCCTAGGGCTTTGTCCCGGCTTATGCCAGTGACTCGGCCCCCACAGGGAGGCCCCGGATCTGCTATTCTTGTCTGGTGTCCCTCATGGCCCCCTCCAGGTGGGGCCTTCCGAGCTGGTGGACCTGGGCCCTGGATTCCTCGTCCCTTGTCTCACTCCGTCTGCACTACGGCAATGTAGTGTAGTATTGTAGTAATGTAGTGTAGTAATGTAGTATTCCCTGGGTGTTGGGTCCCTGGGGGGTGGGGACACCAGGAGGCTCAGGTCCTTTGGCGGACAATAGCACTTCTTCCTGCCTGTCCTGGATCGAGGGAGGGGGTGACCTCGCTCAGGACCTCCATGTCCCTACAGCAGGAGGAGGCGGCTGGGTGGGCCCCAGGCTTGGACGTCGGGATCTTCGTTGGCCTGGAAGCCCTCTGGGGACTTATCGGGGCTGTTTATGGTCTGGAAATTAAGTCGTTTTAATTTTTTTTTTGAATCGTGCTGCCATTAAAGCCTGGATTCATGATTCGTGACGTTCACGGGAGCGGCCCGACAGTCTCTCGCTTCCCTCACAGAGAATCCCCTCTGTGTGGGCCGCGCGGGCCCGGCTGCTCTCGGCTTGCCACGAGGCCTGGCAGTCACCAATGTGGGAGTTGTTGAGACTCGAGAAGGACCTCAGCAAACCAGCATCTGCCAGGCTGCGCGTGTGCCGCGGCGGGACCGAGAGCCATCACGGTCCAGTCGCACCTGGGCCCTTATTTTCATTCCCACTCATTCCGTGTCTCGGTGCAGATTGCCCTTTCCTGCACTGTGCTCAGAAATAGCTGCATTACCGCTGGGCGCTGGTCCATTAGAAGGGCCGGGCAGCGGAGCCGCTCCTAAGAACCGACTTCACATCTCTGACCCGTGTGCACACGGTCCGGGAGACATCTGGTTTGCAGCACCGCCCTCTGGTGGTTCCGACGCATCACTGCCCAGGCCTTGGCCCCTTCCTCCCGGTGCCTGGGCACAGTGGGGGAGAAGGTGGGGATAGGGGGGAGGGCGCAGAACAGCCCTGCGCTGGCACCACAGAGAGGACCCGTGGCCTCGAGATTCCTGGCTGCTGCCACGTGAGCCCTTTCCTCGTTCTGGCAGGGACACCGTTCTTTGCATAGCCAGGAAGTACGTGGACTGTGAGGAGCCTAGGGGCGTGGTGGCAGGCCCACACCCAGCACCGCAGGGCCCCAAGCGGAGAGTAGCCCAATGCCCCCAGTGTGGCCCAGGGTCCAGCACCATGCATGCACGTGCACACACACAATGAACACCCGCCCCGCTGCCCGCCCGCCCGCCCGCCCGCCCATGGGCCCAGCCCTGGGCTGCAAAGAGGGAGGAAAGGCCGACGGCCTCACGCCTGCCTCCCGCACCACATGTCCTCCGCTTCGGCCAGTGTGCTCACATGCTCATGCCTGCATGCATGCGTGTGCATCCCCTCCCCGTCCTCCCATCCCCAGCCATTGTGCTCCCATCATGTGCCTGCATGTGCATGCATATGTGTGCATGTGTGTGTGTGTGTGTGTGTGCGCGCATGTGTGTGCGTGAGCATGAGTGTGCGTGTGCACAGGCCCTGCCTGATGAGGTGCCGGGCTGCAGCAGGACCAGGGGTGTTTGGGACGTGGGTGAGGCTCGGGCCAGCATCTGTGACTGGCCCGCAGACCCTGGGGCAGCTGCTGTCCCCTGGATCCTGTCACGGCTCCAGTTCCCCCCCACCCCCCACGGCCAGCTTGTCTTTCTGTTGGGGGAAGGCAACATTCACTTCATGCCGAGTGATGAGTCGGCTGGTGTGGGGCAGGCGCACATCTGTGTGTGTGTGTGTGTGTGT